CGATGGGGCCCGTCCTGTAGGTCCGATGGGGCCCGTCCTGTAGGTCCAATGGGGCCCGTCTTTTTGGCTCTTCAGTTCTCTTCCACCTGCAGCGTCTTCTTTACGACCTTTGAATTCTGACTGCTGGCGATTTTTTTCGCCAGTGGGTCTCAGGACCCGATCTACGGGATGGGGCCGTCTGCCGACTTTGGGCCCCATGAGAGAATACTTCCTAAATACAGAAGTTGGATTGGTCTCCATCATTGAAGCTCAGCAGGTTTCTACTTCCTGTAACTCGATGTTGGTCCCAAAGAAATAGATTATAACGTCATAATTTTCAAATAGTTGAATGAGTTTTATATAAAGTTAAATTTCTGCAAAACATAAAAAAGAAAAGAAAAATCAACTTCACTGAAATTTCTGGTTCAGTAAACTCTGCTGCCCTCTGCTGCACCGTCTGTGGAACTGCAGCACAACGCTGACCATTTATTACTCACACTTTAGTTTTTATTCCTCTGACGTCATGTCAACAACTCTGAGGTCAAAGGTCAACAGGTCATAGCTTCCATCTTCGATCCTAACTAGAGACAAAAGTCAAAGGTCAAGGCTCTGCAGCCTTCAGGATCCAAACATCCATTTCTGGCCTCAGTTAAATGACCTTATCAGGTTCACGACATTTAAATATTGTTACAGTAAGAATCAAAAGTAAGAAAATAAAAAGCAGTAAAACATACAAAAAAAGACATCAAATATAAATCAATACATGATGGGAAAAGTACAGCAGTGAACTGACAGTTGCTTCAAACATCAGTGCCATGGAACAGAAATTCACCAACAGTCAGATACGAGACCTACGGAGGCCCATAGGGGACACGGGGAGTTTTCTGTTCTTTTGCGTTTGTTACCAGCACCAGACCCCCGGAATCTGGGGCCAGTATCAAGTGGTGCACAGGCAGATGAATCCTGTGCAACCAGATCTGTGGATCCCAGAGGAAGCGAGTCGTAACGGTGTATCTCTGGCAAGAGCTCGTTTATTCTGATTACAAAAAACAAATAAACAGATAAATAAAATACAATTACAATACAATTCAAATTCAATCAACATCCAGAGTTTCCACAAAGAAATAAAATAAAACAAAATTCACAAATAAAACAACATAGCAAAAAATAAAGAAAATCTAATCCTAAATTAACATAATCAAACTAAAAAAACACTCCGCCTAACACAGTGAACACCAACGTCCGTCAGTTATAACGGTTCCTAATCATTAACGTCGGGCTGTTATAACCGTTACAGAGGTTATAAAAAAGATCAAGCCAAGCACAAATAAGTACATCCTCAAGAGAAACAAAAACACCACATGTGTTATAACTGAATACTGTAAGCCTTTGTTACGGTGGCCATCTTACTTTCTGCTATTATATGAGCCTTTCATCTCATTGTTTTATATCTTTTTCTTTAGGATAGAAAGGCATCACAAACCTCTGACATGAACAGAAACTTCCCGTAAGAAGGAAAGAAATAAAAATACATCCAATCTATTTGGACTATTGGATTATTATCGTGTTGGTAGGGTTGGGGTTAGCATAACTCTGCTGCAAAGTAAGATGGCCGCTGTGAGGAAGGCCTACAGTTATAACACATGAACTGATCAGGACATTATTGCGAGACAACGCAAAAGGTTTTAAGCGAAGGATGTTTAAAGTGACATTGTTTCTTTCTAGTTTAGGGTTAAATAAAGAAAAAAAGATAAAACTATCCAAAGAGGATAGAAGCATTGTCAGTGAGGCGTAGATATTTGTAGAAAATTTTGTTTGAAAAGCACAAAGTTATCAACCTGATGAGGAGAAACTAGCTCTAAGGAAATATCGCTGGTGCATTTAGTGTTTTTTTTTTTTTTTTTTTTAAGGGAAAAACTGCTAAAACTTAAAAACACATTAATCGGTCCACTGGCGACCTGCCCAGGTGACCCCGCCTCACGCCCGTTGACAGCTGGAGAAAGGCACCAGCAAACCTCCCAACCCACATGAGGACATGGATGGATGGATTAATCGGGCCCTTATTGTGCTGGAGGGTCCACCGGCGGTTCTGGAGCCGCAGGTTGGAGACCCAGACTCAGACACAGGCTGGTTGCAGCAGAGCGTTGGGGATTTGAGGATTTTTCAGCTATATTTGAATTTCCTTCGGAATGATGATTCACAGCAGTCGACAACCTGACCACAGAAGAAGAAAAGATAATTTATCAGACATTAAATTTATCCTAAAGTCACTGATATGAAATGAAACTTTCATAAGTTTTGCTCCAAACTTTTTGAAATAAATAAATAAATAAATGAATAAATAAATAAATAGATGTTTTATGGGTGAAAGACAATTTTCTAAAAAACTTGTTTGGACTGAGCAGAAATATAAACTCACTGATTAATTCTGAGTTTATATGGAAATGTAAACCAACGGAATAAAAACTATCAGCGGTTTTAATGTTATGAACAAAAACTAATAAACTGTTCTTTTCGAGCAGAACCGCATGTTTCCAACAACAACCAAAACCAACTGTCTTGAAAACCTTAATGAGCTTTACGATAACCCATTTCTGAATTTATTTGATACTTACTGTAACTAATGTACTTTTTGTATTTTTGGTGTTGAAATACCTGCAATAAAGTTACAGATGTTTGGTTCCTTTTTCATAATTTCTTTAAAATTGTTCATTGACAATTTACAGTTGAAGAAAGTCCAACTGTGGATGAACATTTGTAATATTCTCCTCCCCATTTATTAATATTGCTTAATTAATATTATTTTTTCATTATAGGAATGGAAATATTTTGTTTCCTTTTCAGTCGTATGTTTATTCCATAATGTAAATGTGACGTATTGTTTTTTTGATTGTTCAATAAAGTTGTTTAAATAAAATATGTGATGTGTTAATTTGATGTGATTGCTTTTACGTCGCTGAATTGTTTCAAATATTTTTAATTGTGAATTTAACTTTTTCACTTTGCCAATCTCGCGATAGTTTGTCTAGACGTTAATTGGCTTGCTCTAATTTGAAATCTGAGCAGTCATGAAAAAAAAAGTTACAAAGGCTTCTCAGCGTCACGTATCAAGCAGACAGACAACTTCCGGCACAGTCAGACGGGTTTCAGAATAAAAGCATCGAGTTGAATAAACTCCAGTTGTGGGATACTGGCTGTATTATTATTGTGGGCTGTCTTTTAGTGTTGGGGTGAAGGAAGATAAACGGGAGGGCAAAGCTCAGAGCTCAAGAAATTATATTAAACTATTAAACAAGTGGCTAAGCAGAAAAGATGGCTGGATATTAAAACAGTTTAATATCCTTATGGATCACGTTGGCAAAAGAAAGCTGCAGCCAGCTGCCAGGACAAGACAAAGGCTCTGGAGGTTGCCATTCTGCATGTCCTCACCACCAGGGGAGGGGGTAGAGCTCCCAAACTTAATACTCCAGTACAGTAATACTTCTTCAAAATAACTTTACTCAAGTAAAAGTAAAAAATAGCTTTCGAAGACTCAAGTAAGAGTTAAAAAAAATGCTTCCGGCTTGCGCCTTAAGCGCTTTTATTGTGAAGGTGGGCGTCATTTCCGTACCCGAAGTGTGTGATTGCTGTAAACTTAATGTTGCCGGTCAGCAGAAGGTCGGACAACAACAGCAGCAGCAGCAGTGTGTTTGGAGCTGGTTACTGGTTAACTGGTTAATTGGGTCCCGAGTTAGTTTACTGGGAGTTGAACCGGAAGCTGCTCGGCCGGCCGGTCAGTTTGGGCTTTACAGGCCGGAAACAGTTTGGAGCTAACAGGCTAACGTTAGCATGCAGGGAGCTAACTTGCTGAAAAGGAAGGGGGCGGAGCCTTGGATCTGCCAGCAGGTGAGACATACCTGGAGGAAGATGAGGAAGAGGAAGGTTAACAGGAAGAGACTAACTCAGCTGTAGTTTAGCTAACTAGTCGGTGGTTAATTTAAACTAGCTGTTTATCAGTCATTATGATGTTTTCACTGCTGTTTTTCCTTCTCTGGCGTTTATTATGTTCTGGTACCGTCTGACCCGAACCCTCCGAACTCATGGTACTGAGTCGGCTAGAACATTCAGCTGATGGACTCCAGTTATCAGAGGAAACACAAAGGTTAAACATGTATTTATTTATTTCGAACATGATGAAAGTATAAACATACACATGAACAATGAAAGAAAAGACATGTTTTTTGCACCACAATAATCTTAACAATAATTTTATCTTGCTAGAAAAAGAGTAGGAAGAAGTAAGAAACGTATTAACTCCTCCCCCATAAACTCACACAATATTTTCAGATGGACCCTCATTATTAAATCAAATAAACAAGGTTAATTAATTTCCCATTTTATCTGGGTTAATCAAGGGGTTGCTAATCGACTAGTCGATTATTTACTCTGCAATGACTTTTACGGGGCCAGTCCATTAGTCGCAATCACATAACAAAAATGATTTTTCCAAGAAAGTGAACAAGGTGAGTTCGTCAGACAGCTCAAATGCATAAAAAATTTTAATTTACCAAAGAGAAACTAAAAATTCCAGTAAGGGAACAGAGGCACTGCGTGGTGGCGCAGCGGTTAGCGCGGCGCCCCGCATAGACAGACCGGGTATCTGGAGCCCGACTCCCGTCCTCTGTTCGCTGGGCCCAGGCCTCTCTCCCCTCTCTGCCCCCTTCCTGTCGGATTGCTGTCAAAAATAAAGGCAACTAGTGCTGAAAACATTTTACTAAAAGTTTACCGGAGTAATGTGGGGCAACGCGGCATGATGATCAGCGTCGCTCTGCGTGTTGAAGCTTCCAACCTGGCAGCTTTACGCTCTTCTAAAATACGTCTAACGTCTGGAAACAAAGTCCAAGCTTTTTCTTGCTCTTTTAATTCCTCCTTATATTTCCCTTTAAATTGTAATAAATTCTAACTTTGTTTTAACTCCTCATTTAACTTGTAATTTTTCACCATAAATTGAAATACAAAATCTCTACGTAAACTACGAATTCTTACGTTTGAGTTTAAGTTTTATCCTTATTCTCTTTCATAAACATGCTCTGTATAAGTTCAGGTAGCAGTTTATTAGATGCCTTAAACATAATTTGAGCAATTTTAAATTCCACCAGATCTTCAAATTTAACAGTTCTAGATTTTAAGAATAAGGGGTTTGTGTTCTCATAATAACCAACATTATGGATGATTCTAATGTGATTAGAATATTGGTGTTGTCAGCAAATAACACAAATTTTAATACATTAGACACTTTGCTTATGTCGTTTATATACAAATTAAATTAAACTGGTCCCAGTACTGACCCTTGAGGAATCCCACATACAATCTCCAGACAATCAGACTCAATATCTCCCATCAATGACATGAATGAATTTAACAAATAAAAAGAACACATGAATACAACTTTTAAAAATTTGGACCATGAGCATTTTTCAAGCCAGATGTTGAAAACTCATCATGACCATATATGGTAACAGGAAGCTGAGGCCTGTCCTGGTGGCTGTTGGAGGTATTTGATGGATCTTTCCAGGATAACAATAACTGTGACAGGGTTAGGGGAATACGGAAATAATAACAATAATAATAATAATGTTCCAACAATATAAGCTCAGAGCCATAGGGCAGCTGGCTGGTCCTGCCTCTGTGCTGCCCCCTGTTGGTGACCTGAGGCCAGTGTTTCCTCTCATACTGTTGAAATGGGGTCAGTCTCTTAATGATGAATTTTAAAGCTGCATATGAGGAGCTTTGAATGGCCTAATCAAAATCCAGGCTGATAGAGGTGCTGTCAGCAGGTCGTTAATGCTGGGGAACCCTCCAATGTGCCTGAGTGAGTTACACTCAGGACTCAGAACCAGTTCTGGTTCTGACCCGTGTTGGCAGGAAGCGGTCAACACATCTGCATGGAGTAGATCTATGCCTTCACTGGCAGTTCCACCCAAACTGGGCCTGATGATGTCACTGATAATGATGATGACCTTTGGTTTCAGAAGCGGATGTGTTTGGAGGCGGAGCTCCAGATAGCAGAGTATCCAATGGAAATGTCCCATGGTGTGCCTGTGACCAATCAGCAGCAGGAGCAGCAGGTGCGTGCCAGTTGCCATGACGACAGCTAGTTAAACAGACCGCTCCGGATCGGTTACCATGGAAACCGAGGCAGAAAACTTAATAAGAGACTTTGCTGAACATCGGACTGCCATGAGAACCTGTTACCATATTCTGGTCTGCAGGTCGGATTGACCCGGACTGGACCTCAGCGCCGCTGCCCCCGCTGTCTGGGAGGTGAACCGGTAAGAACCCGAATCTGGTTCTGGTCAGGGAGGGTCTGACCTCAGATGCCTGTGATGTCATCAATCAATCAATCAATCAATCAATCAATCAATCAATCAATCAATCAGATGTGAGCTAACAGGTAATGTTAAATATGATGATTCCAGGGTCACATCAGCCACATGCTGGGTCAGTGAGAGGAAGAGGAAGAGGAGGAGGAGCTCAGAAACCGTCCAATGACATGTCTGTCCATCCAGTGGAAGAACCAATCAGGTGCCTTTCTGTCGGTTTCCCAGGAAGTTTTATCTGGAAACTCGACATTCCCTCAAAGACTCAGTGAGCGATCACCCAGCGTCGCCATGGAGACGGGTCAGTCAGCACCTTGTGACGGTGTGTTCAGGGACACTCTGCTCCTATGTGTCTCTGAACACACCTGATTCCTGACTGGCTGACTCAGACTTGGCGAGGCGTTCGCTGCCATCAGGCCTTTTCCCGACTGCAGACGCTTTCTTCTTCTGTGGTGTGGAACTGCTCCCGGCGTTAAAGACTTTAATCCATGTCTTCCTGGTCATGTTTACTAGTATCATGAGAGGCTTCTATATTTTTAATTCAGATCTGACTGAATGTAAGATAGTGTCCAGCTGACATCATTTCCTGCTCCAGGCTGACCAATCAGAGAGCAGCTTTTGTACTGTAGACGGATTTTAAAATAAAACGTCTGTGAACGGCTCAGGTGTCTGATTGTCCCTCGGTCAGGTGACTACAGGTGAGCATCACATCACCTAGAGGGTCTGCATGCCATCCAGTGATGTCATCAGTGCCTCACTCTGAGGCTCCACCCACTCAGGTCATTGACATGGTGCCTTTTCACAGAAAGCCAGAAAACTGCCAGCGGCCATCTTGCTAATGGGCCGAGATAGGAGGAAGACAAACTAGGTAATAGCACCACCTCCCCCCCCTTCACACACACACACACACACACACACACACACACACACACAAAACCCCCATCACAAGACCCTGACCTGAAGGGCAGAGCTACTGGACCACAAACTACCAGGAAATGTCCTGCTTATGTCCCTGAATGCTTGCTGCTGTCTGTCATGCAGTTCAGTTCATTAATAAGTTTAAACCGTTTCTACGGAAACAGTTGAGCATCGAGTCGTCGACTAGCAGCAGCACTCCAGATGATTTAAACTCCAGATCCCATGGTGCCCCAGGGCCGCTCCTCCCACAGCACAGGGTGGAGAGTGGGAGGAGGAGCGGAGGGGGAGTTTGGGAAAGAATGCCAGGAATTCATTTCCTGTCGAACAACTTTCACAGCGAGGAGGAGACGAAGAGGAGAGAAAGAGGAGAGGAAGAGGAGAGGAAGAGTCATGTCCAAGTTTGAGACGCTGCTCCAGAGTGTGAAGAAGACGAGGGACTGACTCCTTCTCCTCCTGCTGGGATTCTGCCTCCAGGAGGAGGAGCGCTGACTCCTGGTTCTCCTGGAGGAACCCATGACTCCTGCTGTAGGAGGAACCGGACCGACTCCTGCGGGGAAACCGGGCTCTGCTCCTGCTGCAGGAGGCGCAGCATGGCTGAGCCGCTGCTGAGGAGAACCTTCTCCAGGCTGAGGGGCAAAGACAGGAGGCGCAGGAAGACGGAGCCCAAACTGAGCGGTGAGCACTTTACCAACTGCCAGTGAATGCAACATGATGGTCAGTGAATGCATCATGAAGGTCAGTGAATGCAACATGATGGTCCTCAGGGTCAGTAGAACCTGCCAGAACCAGTAAACCCAGAACTGGACCTGGGTCCAGGCGGCCATCGTCTTCACTTCTGCTCTATCTTCTCAAACCTGCAGACAGCCGCTGTCGTCGTGTCGACCCTTCTCTGCCAAGGTCAGGGGCCCAACAGGTGGTCAGGGGGGCCAGCAGGGGGCGCCAGTGCTTGGAGTCCTTTGGGCTGGTTAAACTGAATGAATCCAGGCCATTTACTGTTTGATACCTGGGATCAGAAGAGGATGAGGATGAGAACCTAATGGAACCTGGAGCTGATGGTTCTGACTAGGGCTGTTGTACACAGATATTTTAGTAATCGAGTAATGAGATAAAAAAAATTTGATAAAATAAAATATTAGTAAATCTAGTATAACACCAGTGTTGCTATCGGATATCAACATCAGTCCATTTTTTCCTATTTGAGCTTCCTTAACAGTTACTTTTCTGTAGTTTAGAAAACTAACCTGTAACAATAACAGCTCACTTTCTAAGTTAACATGAAGAAAAGTTACACAAAGATCTGAAATTATATTAATTGTAATAATAAAGAGCCAAGCCCACATATACGCTTATATAAAAAATGTCTATACTCCAGTTTTTGGTTTATGTATTCATCTCCAGTCGGTTTAATAGATGAACTCTGACCTTGCACAGACATTTATAGCTTTGTGTTCATTTTAGCGACAAGGCAGTGAAGGTAACCTGCTGCTGCTGTGCAGAGCTGCTCAGGTGTGTTAGAATTATTGCAGCAAACCAACAAAACGCAAAGAACCTTCCGTAGTTTCCCGCCCAAACTAACCAAGTTGAGTAAAGTTGTTGGTGACTGACTGGTTAGTTAAATGATGACCAGCAAAGCCAATATATCCAGCTTTGCTAGTCTTGTTAACAAGAACAGAGTACCAATTTTGTTATCCATGTTCAAAAGTGGGTAATACTGATTACATTTACTTTAGTAACTTTTTTGGGGAAAAAGGTACTTATAAGAATAGTTTTAATGCACTGAAATTTGTTTTCTTAGTTGACTAATATTTCTACTCTTACTTGATTAGATTGATTTTACATAAAGAAAACATTGGAAATATTAGATTTCTGCAACATATGAGCTAATGTCTGTGCAAATTTGAGCATGTATTTTATACATGTCACTGTATATGGTATGGTATTTTGCATTAATAAACATGGTTATTTTATTTGAAATGTCACATAAAGGTTTGTTTACGTATTTATATTAAAGTAAAATCTCGTTTTACTTTAATACAATCTGCCCCCAAAATAAGCTAACCCCCCCCCTGATAAACTCTGTGGAGCCGGGCCGGCTCCAGGCATCGCACCAGTTAAAGATGTTTATTGGTCCCCGAAAAACGATAAAAGCCCAAACATTATCATCAGTAAAAGGTCCAAACTTGAAAATTGGACCTTATGCTGCTAACATCAACAACTCAGGTGGAAGAGAGAGCGCTGCGCAACACAAATAAGAACCGGACCGGAACAAGGTGCGCTAAATAATAAAGACACTAAGCTGCCTCAAAGCTTCAAGGAAATTTAATAATCGAGGTACTCAAATCATTAGAGGAATCGTTACAGCCCTGGTTCTGACAGGTTCTGGACCGTTAAGAAGGATTTCTCTGAGCCTCAGACTTGGAAGTAAATCCAGAACCGGGCCTGAGCCTGTAATTGGGTCGCTGAGTACAACGCCTGCACACAGATCAGTTTCCTGTCATTAGCCCTGCTGAACTTCCTGTTTATGTGTCCGGATGGACTGTCTCACGGCACTGGTTCTGTTCATACTGGACCAGGATTGCTGGTGTAGAAATGGGCCTATTGGTTCTGAAGGAGACAAATTGGACCCTTCAGCAAGGACTGATCTCTTCTAATACCAGAATCCAATGAGAGTTACCTCAGAACCTGGCAGGACCTCTGGACCAACCCAACGCTTCTTCCTGTGTCGCTGACTGCAGGCCGGGTGTGCGTGCGTGTGTGTGTGTGTGTGTGTGTGTGTGTGTATATGTGTGTGTGTGTGTGCGTGTCTCTGTCATATTTATTAACATTCTGAAGACCAATGGGCCTTATGGGGCCCACAGCCCCTTCCTGATACAGTGGACCCCTTGAGGCGCGGTTAAGGCGAGTTTGGTTTATAAGGTTTGGGTCACTAACCTTCACTGAAGTGAATGGAAGTCAATACAAAGTCTGAATGTGGGTAGAAATACACACAAGTCTGCATCTGTGTGTGTGATGAATAGTGAATACTCAGCAGTGTGTGTTGAACACAGAAGCTCCTTTCACATCTGTGCAGCTGTTTATTCAACCTCTGCCCCTCCCCCTTCTGTTTCTAGCTTTCAGACTCATTCTGATGACAGGAAGTAAAGTCAGCCTCTGGAGAGGGTCACTTCCTGTTTGGTCCTGCTTGTAGCCTCAGGAAGCAGTTGGGCAGAACCCTCAGAACCATCAGGAGGCATTTACCTGAGGACATCTGAAAAGAGTTCCTGATAAATAAAAACTTCAGTTGGGTCAGTTGGTTCTGGGTTAGTTTGTTGTCGGTGGGCCGGTCACAATAACAAATGTGCTGGATGATAAATTGTCCCAGAAATTATTGCAGCAGCTCTGCATCCTGCAGCTTTTCTCTGTGCAAAGGGAACATGTGCATCGAGGGAAACTCTGACCCACTGGGCCAGAACCGCAGGACTGGAACCAGGTTTCTGATGTTAGTCTGATGGTCCTTGTTTGGCGTTAAACATGAGGCAGAGTTCAGTTTGCGTGACATTCTTTTCTGTCTCTAAACATGTTTTCATTCTGGAGTGACCTCAGCATCAGGTTAACAGATCGACCAATCAGAGAAGAGGATAGCGGTGTTTGTGTTTCACACAGAAAGATCCCAACCAGATAAACGCAGACCAGAAGCAGCAGCCTCAGGTCGCACTCAGCAGAACAACACGGCTTATTCACGCAGCTCAGTCAGACGCTGATGCTGCCTGTCACGAGACGCTGCTCTCTACTGAGCATGCTCAGAACACTAGCAACCAGCTGCCTCTTAACCAGCCTGAACTGGTTTCGTTTCCTGGTCAAATACAATCTGCCATTGTTTTGGCAAACTTACACACCGAAGCAGAACTAACTTTGGTGGCCTCTGGTAGTTGTAACCAGATCTTGATATTGCCCCTTGTGGCCCCTGGTGTAAAACCTCCCTATGG